CCTCAGCAAGTCGTGTGTGTCTCTCATGGTTCGACGATGCGTGTCCAGCTGTCGACGCAGATTGAATTTGGCCATCCCCTCAGCCTTCTCGATACGCTGTTCTAGCTCCAGCATTTCGTCGTAACCGCGCGCAGTTTCAGGACATGCCTCGATCTTACTCACAAGCTCCGGTGGAGCGGACATACGCACTCCGATGGTCCGCGCTAGTGACCGTGCTTTGAACTTCTGCACCCATTGCCATACCTTGGTGATAGTCTCATCAGATGGCTCACCTGGAGCCGCGAGGAGCAGCTCGATGGCTGTGAGGACCGTGAATGCATTGGCATTGCCCGCGGTGATACTCTGCCGGTGTGTGATTCCTTCTAGGCCTGAACTTGTGGACGCATGGAGCTCGCTCATCGAAAATATCTCATCAGCCTCTTCAGCCTGACTGATCCCTCTGTTGCGGAGGTCGTGGATTTGAGCCTTGGCATAGTCTGAAAGGCAATAAGTATCGTTCTCTGCCTCTTTAGGCCTATTTTCTGCTGTTCTGCCTTTGGTATCGTTGGAGCTCGCTGCTTGCTGCTCCAATTGTCTTATCCGCCTGATCATGAACATGCAGATTTGCGCTCCAGATCGCTGGTGAAGAGCCACCCGAACGAGGTCCTTGTTTCGACGAAACTCAGCCAGAGCACGGTCGTTGTATGTTTGGGCATTTGACAATCGTTCTCCTGATTCAGCACTGGTGAAATCCGCCGAGTAATCTAGCGGTGCCATGTAAGTGAGTGCTATTTGGGACAGCCAACTGCCCTTGCTACCTGGAAACTTGTCCCGGATGATCTGGGGGAGGCTTTCTTCGAGCTCGAGTAGACTCTTGAGCTCAGAGAGGCGAAGGTCCCAGAGCTGAAGATCAGAAAAGTGCATCTGCCTCCCGAATCTGAGCATGACCAAACAGAACAGTCGACGGTTCTTTTGATGCACAGGGGGTTTACCGAGCCATGCACAGAGACGTGTATACCGTTCTTCTGTGGGCTCATCGATGTCGGTGGCTTTGGGGAAGACGATAGCTTTCAATGCGGCTTCTTTCATATCCTTGAACTCTTCAAGGGCAGAGTTCCCAGTGGCGATGTCTTTAAGCAGCCATGTCAGTACCAGCTGAATGGACATTTCTTGTATTTTTGCCTGGTCTCCAATGACATCGCTCCAGCCCCAATAGAATGTCTCCTCCCCATCATCGTCCTGAACCTGATTCTGGGTATCTTGTTGTACAGAAGGAGTGGTGCCCCTTTTCGTTGTATCGCGGCGGCTCTGTCTCGAATGCATCCAATTGCCCACGGATGGTGTGGATGTCTCCAATCGACTGGCCTCCTCGTCGATCCTCCCAGCCTCATCCTGCCGACGAAGACTTCGCAGGAGTGATGCCTGACTCCTAAGGAGCAACGCCCGCACCACTGGGGCGTCGAAGTGCGGATACTGTTTAAAGAAGTCATCAATCCAGTCGAGAGCCTTATCGCGATCAATTAGGCTCGCGAGCGCAACAGAATTGAGGTCAACATGATGGTGCACCAGATCGCAAATGTCCTCCGATACAGTCTGATCATACGTATCGAGGCGCCTCTGCACATCAAAATACGTGGTCCTGAACAATTCCATTCCAGTGACTTCGTAATATTTCCTCGAGAGATCAGCAGCTGCCGCTAAGCAATAGCCAGTCTTCGTGCCGTCGACAGCTTCCATATGAGCGGCTAGCTCCTCTGTCCGCTCTAATTTGTCGATCGGGTCGTTGATGCATGACAGCCTCTCGTAGGCCATTGCTTGCATATGCGGTGTAGCCTCCTTATTTCCGATGCCAAATTCATCACAGAACCTCTGGAAAGCCGCCTCAGATTTGTCGAACTCCTCAACGGCGCTTTCTGGCGCTTGTAGCTGAATATGTGTGGTTGCCCACTGAAGACGAACCACCGCCTCGATGTAGTCCCGGCCCAGGCTCGCAGGAATACTTGCTACAGCCTCCAGAAACTCGTTGACCACAGGGCCTCGGTATTCTGGTGGCGTGCGATTCAGCTCCGCGCGGAACAGGGCATTGGCCTCGTTGAACATGCCTCGCTGCGTCAGGGAGCGCCGCAGTAGTTGTAGCCCACCCCAGGGTATCCTTTCACCTGAAGCGTCTGCCCTGCCATGTAACGGGATGTGCTCTGACTCTGGATTATTGTATCCCGAATAGAGCCTGGTGAACAGACTTGCGATGACATATCGGCGAATGCAGCCCGCCTAAACACGATGTTAGATCAGTCACCATATCAAGTTCGACGGTTTGGGGGCAGCAGTCATACCTGGATGTCAGTATACTCCTCTACAGGTACTCCAGCAAGCCAATGCTGGGTTCTTTCAATCTCTATAGCTGACGACGTCACATCACCTCGATGTCTAGTCCCGAGCATGGCCCATGTCAAAAGCATGAGTCGATGTTCGGGTGATCCAAGGTCGTCTTTGGCTTCTCGCAGCCGTAAAAGCTCCGAGTTTAGGATGCCCCATGCCCGGCCCCATTTGCCCGCCTCCAACTCGAGGTCGGCGTGCTCAATAGCGACAACCGGAACTGCTGCAAAAGATCCAAGCTCATTGTCGAATATTGCTCTGGCTTCGTTGGCGAGTCCTGACATCTTGAGCCAGATGGCACGCTCGAGCTGTTTGACAGCCTCCGGGGGCAATGAACTGTACAGGGATGTATATATCCCCCAGTAGCAAGGAGATATCGACATCTCACTCAATTGTTCTAATGGAACATCCATTTTGAAGTTCTGACGTTTGAATAATGCTAGAAATGCTCAATTTGGATCAGAGCAAGCGAGAACAGTGTATAACATGAGAATCGAGATGATGCTTTGAGTATTTGTAAATGCTGTATCGCTTCTTACAACAAGTCCCAACCCGGTCTTATTATACCATCCCTTTCATATTATCTCTCCTCCTCTTTTGCTCTTCGAACTTACCGTCTTGTCCAACATGCTCTTTTTCAGCTCGTTTCAGCTTCTTTCAAATTTGGGAGTTGAGGGGAAGTCACATTGATCCTATTGGACCGTATCAATCGATAGCGTCCAGTGTGATGCGCGAGATAAAGCAATAAAGGTGCATGACAAGGATGTTCGGGACGACTTAAATTTCTGAAGATACGTTACAACAGCTGTTACGCGCCGGTGGCGTGGTGGTCTAGATTCGGAAGTCTGATTCTAGAGCGCGCAATGAAAATGGATGTGTTGCAGTGAGGCTGAGTGCTGATAGTATATATCATGGTGCATGCGTGTTGATCCAGCACCTGATCCCACGGCTGATGCTATGCGAACCTAGAGGCATTTTGTTCAGTAACACTGCTCAACATACACTAGCCCTCTATCAAGGACTTCAATCCCACTTACACACAACAAGCGCCTCCATTAGTCTGGGCATGATGTCGGAACTCCCTGACAAATCGAATTCACCAATCCCGTCATCTGTGTTTGATAGCGATGTTGATGACCCCAATTCGTCTCCAGTCCTTCTACCGTTGACTGTGTCGATCGATGATGATGGTGCAGGACAGCTCTCAGCACCGCAGACGAATACCACGGCTGAGCTCTCAGAGCCGCGACAGATTATATCGTCTGGAGACCCTTCCAAATTTCTCCAGGCTGAGCTTGGGCGACCTGTTTTCGCAGGAACCTACTTCAACGAGCCTGCGTATCTCGTCCAGCTGCGATTGCACTTGTCACTGTCAAGCGGAAATCGAAGCTGGCTCAGCCGTATCCAAACGGTTGATATTCATGTTCATGTAGAAGACGCACCGAGAGATGATGCACAGAATGCTTCGGAGAATTCTGATAGCAGTGACAGTGATTTCGAAGAGGAGGAACTTCCGCACCCAGCAATCGTCAAAGCATTCCCTAGTCCCAGTGGTTGGGAGGGTACACCACAATCCGCTGAGGTGTCATTAACGCACGGAATCGGCATGCAAGTAGGCTACAATCCCGCTTCTGTTTCCTACAACATCGGCGAATCACGCACCTGGACCAAGACCGGAGCCGTCAAGGTCAAGGTAGCACACAAAGGTCCGGGACAGAACAAGTTGCATGTCCGGGTCGAAGAGAGCTCCGTGGACAAAGCTGGAGTGCCAGACTATTTGGTAGTGCCTTTCATCATCAGACACCGGTCCCGTCGCTTCCGTATGCGTGTTGGGATTCATGCGCGCTTTGGCTTCTGGCGCGGCAAGCTGGCTGAAGTGGTGCCCATTCTTGGTCGCGCTGATGAACCTTTGTTCTTTGATCCGCTGGTTATGCGCCGGGCTATGGAAAAGGGACGGAGGGGCGTTAATGGGGAGAAGGTCGTTGAGTGGCGTGGTGCACTGGATGAAGTTGCGCTGCAGGAGTACTCGTCGCTGATTGATAAGAATGCCACTCAGGCGTGACAGTGATGTTTTAGGGAGGCTGGCATTCAACTCTAAAGCCGATATATCAGGGAGATAGCTGTCTAGGTTAATAGATGTGTTGCAATGGCCTGCATCGCTCGCTCGAACCCGCCTCCTATTGGGAACTGTGAATTTGGCTTGGCCTCATGACGCTGTGCTGTTCAGTATGTGGCGACGCTTCAAGTCTCAGAGTTCTCATTCCTAAAATTAAAGGTATTCGAGAGTATTGGAATTTTATACTGGTCGCAAAATCATCTGAAGGTCCTATCCGGGTATGGTAGAGTAGAGGGAGGGTCCGATAACATGAGAACGCCTCACGTTGACTCAGCATGCCCAAAATGCCTTGTCATTGCCTTATTTTTGTGCTTTTCTCTTGTGATTTAGGTGTGTATTGTTGTTGAAAGTTTCCTGAGTATTCCTGCAGAGGGACCCAGAAAGCCTTGCCGTCCAATAACAGCTTGCAGCTGAGAGCCTGATCAGGCTGTGCAGAATGTACCATCAATCATCAGAAACCGAGCTCTGTGTCATCTTTTCAACTCTCCTACAACATCTCCATCAGCACAATCGCCGATATTTCTACTAAATGGCAGAGCTTCTGGGCATCGTCGCTGGCGGAGCTGGACTTGCCTCTCTGGCACTCCAGTTAGTCGATGGCGGCCAGAAACTGCGACAGCGCTACAAGAACGTCAAAGGCCTTGGAGGTAACATTTTATGGCTGAGTGAGGATATCGAACTCATCGGAAAGCAGCTCATCCAACTCGAAACTAGCGCAGACGACATCATGCAAGAGCAACTTGGTCCGATCATGATGGGAGATGTCGAGACCGCTCTGCAAGAGTGGCAGATCGCTTAGCAAACCTGGCTGGTGATATACCAGTCAACTCTTCAAGGAGGCAGATCATACGAACTACATTCAGGTCGGGTCAATGGAAGGGTGAGCTTGACGAACTTCAGGCCCTTGTCACTGGTCTCAAGCAAGACATATCACAGTACGCTATTCCTCCATCCGCGGTGAGAAGTAAAACTGACAATCAAACTTACAGACTTTACATTATTCAGCAACACTTATACATGCGTAACAGCCGAAGTTCCTTAGTTACAGCGGACGGTACATCGTCAATGACCCCAATCTTCGGTCTGTCAACAGAGATTTCTCCACACGATAACACTTTAGGCACTACTGCGACTTATCAAAATGATATCATTCAATATTCGTCATGTAACTGTGATTGCTCATGCCACAAGAAGCGCACAATAAGTGGCACCTTCTGGCGTCTGCAATACTCCCCACTGGCTGAGATATTCCAAGGTTGCGATAATCCGGACTGTTCTGTGAGGCGTTACCGTTTTGATCTTCGATTGACGTTGTATCACTACGGGATCCCATTAAAAGCAGCTCTTGGACTTGATCTCATCACTGAGCCAGGACGATATTCTCTTCAACCATGTCTACAAATCGAAACTGTCGTTGACTTCGATGCACCTGGCTTTGTGATTCTGGAAAAGCTGGCCTTGGAAGAAATAGACTGGGTAACAGCCGAGACTGAGTTGAAAGGTCTATATAAGTCTTGCCCTGGATTTGTGAACCAGGTTGATCCTTTAGGTCGTGGCTATCTTGAGGATGGTCCCCCCTTACACAAGTTTGGAGTATTGCTAACGTGAGCTGTAGGTGGCTGCTGGTAATTTCGAATATACTGATAGGAATGGTGAAGACTCTAAAACTATCACGAATCTGATCCAGCTTTTCGTTTCATCGTTCCGTACCAAAGAAACATCTCACAGCGCCGGGTTGGTCCCCCTTCCCTCTCACTGCTATGCCGGTTCGCGGCCGTTAACATGTAGCAGTCTCTTGAGACAACTACTGGATCTGATGGAAATAGGGTATGTGGGTTCTGTTGACTCTCTCGCTGCTCTTGGATGCGATTTCAAGAATGTGGTGCCCACTTTGTCCTCTTGGCCAAAACCCTTCATTTACGAAGATGACCCTTTTCATTTCCAGCGTATGAAGGCATTTATCAGAATGGATACAGGTGAGTCTGGCATACAATTATAAGGTTCGGCCAGTCTAATAAGAGCCTGTCCAAGATTTTGGAGACAGTCCTCCGCTTCACAGCTCAACATTGTTTGACTCGGATGAAAGTTTCATGCTTTGCCTTAAGAGAAACACACAACCATTCGATACGATTGTCAACTTCTTGGGTCAATCGGCACTTCACATGGCAGTACAACAGCCTTCACGTGTGGCTCAACTTCTAGCTGCTGGGCATCCAGTTGATCAGAGCGATGAGTATGGCAGGAGCCCTTTATTGTATGCCGCAGCGATGAATATTCCAGACACAGCTATGATGCTTGTCGAGAATGGTGCCAGCTTATTTAGCACTCTAGTTGATTGCCTTCCGATTATCTGCACAGTTGCTGCACGGCAGAACTGGACTTTGGTATGGCGGATCATCGATTTTGCAGCAGCATCCCATCCCGATCTTACCCCTCGCCTAATTCGAGACCTATTGGAATGGGATTTCGAAGAAGCTTACGGCGTCGTAGACGGTCAACATGATTTAGTAGACTTCTGGTCCCGAGCGATCTCAAAACTTGGCAGCCCCAACTTCTCCTTCCAGGATGGCAAGACCTTGATGCATATGACCCACGGTGTCAGATCGGCGAGAGCGTTGATAAAATTGGGCTTCACCAAATTCAAGCAAACGGAAGGAGACTTACTTGAGCACATCGCTTCGTTGCATGATTTGCCGTTGTTCCGGTTTGCTATTGCGAATGGTGGTGATATGCATTTGCACAAACACTGGGGTTGGCGCATCCTTGACATGCTGCTTCGAGATCTTGCATTAAGTAACTCAGTTAGCTTTCCAAAGATCTTGGAATTATTGCAGGCCCTCCTTGACAGTGGAGTCGAAGTTTCGTCCCATGATGAACGGGCGTGCAATTGTTTGGTTGGTGGATGCGTTCCGGGTTCTAAATGGTTATCGAGAGAACCAAATCTATGTTTATTTGCATGGCTTGAGGTATTAGAAAGGCAGAGAGGTATACAAGAGGCTAGGAAAGTTTCCCTCGCCCTTCTACGACGAATGGCTTTTGATCAAGCTGGTCTACATCACATTTGCGATACAAAATGCCACTCTGATTTAGTCTCTGATGTCGACAACGATCGATTTTGGGATATTGCTGAGCAAATCAGCATCGATGAACTTAAGAAAGAGATGGAAGACCTGGCTACCAAGCCGTACCCGGAGTTGAAGATCGAGGTCATGGCTCGCCTTCGAGGTAAGCGGAGGAAAGCATGTGCGGAAGCAGGGCCTCCCAAGCTCTCACGTAGCCTGATACAAAGTATTTCAAGGCACCGGGCGAATGATCTGAAAGAATTGTTGAAGGTAATTCGAGTAGGTCTACTTTGCCACTAAAAGTTCCTAACCTCAAGCATTGTTCTGATGAAGCGATAGGCGTCGAGTTATCCCAGTATTCCAGAACCTTTCTCAAGCTCTTGGAATCACATACTTCGGAAGAAAATGGAATCTAATCAGTGGTGGGTGCGCCATGACCTTGAAGTGGCGGTGATCGAGCTTGGGGTTGGGCTTTATCGATGCGGAGGTGATCAGTTTGAGAGCTGGATTCCACTACTGACCCAATTGACGGACATCCTGCTTGCCGAAGAACCAGAGGTCTTAGAACCCTGATCATACGGGCAGACTGCTACGGGGAGGATATGAGCATGCATATTGTTGGATAATAGGCGGCTGTAAAGTGTTATCAAATTGCAAATGCTGGTGTTCAACATAGATCGACCTGTAACACATGGAAGCTCAATCTTGCAGCACCTAACGGCGTGACATATCAGAAATCATCCTCTTTGTGAATACAATAGCTCCTCGTCATCCTTATAGATGTCTTTTTGTTGTACCACAAATTGTCAGCCATATCTGCACCTGCAATTTGAGACAAGATCCACCTGAAGGGTGGGCAAAAAAGACTTCAGACCCCAACCTTAGAAGCAGCTAATCTGAAGAGATCTTAAGATATTGACTAAGTTTGCCTAAATGCTTTCTTCCATGCCTTAGGACAGAGCTCCCAGGTTTTCTTGCTCCCTGATTCATAGGTGTAGAGGAAAGTCCCCGTATTAGTAAAAGAAAGCATACCTAAGCTAGGCCCTATACTACACTGTGGTAGTTCACGGAATGCATTGTCTGAAATTATATCTATTTACTTGTATATAGTCTCGTTCTAGTTCGTGGAATGGCTTAGCAGCTTCTATGATAGTCGACGCCGGACCGTCGGAGGTTGGCCCCGGAGATTTGGGCAGGGTCCAATACCTTTAGACTTCCATCGCATTACCGAAGCATCACGAAATGACTGTAGTGAATAATAATATGCCACATGTGATATTTTAAGCCAACGTCACACTGTTGTAGCGGCATACAGATCGATGTAACCTATTTTCCATATTCAGTGATTTCCGTTGGTGCCAAATGCCCGGGAGCATATCCCCGACTCCGTGTAAAAAGCGAGCGGGGATTTCAACGACCGAGATCCACCAACTTGCAATTCGTCTTTGATCTGACAGTCAAAGTCGCAAATTAGAATCATGCATTGACAATGGACATTTTACTTTCGGTCTCGGGCCAATTGATAGCATTCTTACCCGAAGGTAGGCATCCTCAATTTATGACCCCGCGGACTGTGCACGGAGAAGCTGTGTCGAGTTATCAATCTGATGTTGGCCTTATCAGATGGACAAAGCCATGCACGTTGACAAATCATTTCCAGTGCCGGTACGCCAACGCCGATGTCGCCGGGTTTACACCGAAGGTCACGACTTTATTAACTATCAGCATCTTCTTATTTGGCCAGTAATAAATCGATCTGCACTTTAGGGTTGAGACTACAGTGTCTGTACGGAGAAGAATACCGATGGACCGCTTGAAGGATCGAGAATCAAACGGATAAATTGCCGCTCCATGTTCCATGACGATGTGTGATTCGCCTCGGCATGTCATTAGTAATGAATGTTTTTGGTGTCAATGGCTGGCATCTTATCAGATGCAGACTAGTCCGGGTCCCCGGCCACAACCTACACCTAAGCTGTCGGTTTACTCCTCACCTGTGAATCCAATCGGACTGACTGACTTTGCTCCTGAGGACGGGAGAGCATGATGGTCAACAATAAATAAATAAATTAGATGACCAGTTAGAGACACAAATAAATGTTGACAGTAAAGACAAAGTCAGATAAACGTCAATATAAAAAAGAAGTGGGAAATAGGCGGGTCTTGAATCTGTGTCTCTCTTCTCCGAGGAGTACCGAGCTAATAAAGACGTAATGGCCGAGCAATCGAAGCTCACTGATTGGCCCCGGTCTACTCCACACCACCGCAAGCCATTGCCCGAAATCGCCATCTCCTCAAGTCCCGCCCGCAACAAGAGGAAGAGCATCTTTTTTTTTAGCCAAACCCCCAGACTTGATCCTCCCTCCGTCATCGCTTTTCGCCTCCCATTCAACTCAACTCAACTCTCGATCTTTGCATCACATCACTTTTCCAATCTTGCATCTTACAACAATCCTGACAACACGACCTACGCACAACCTGATATTCGGCAAACCTCGATATATCACCAAAACCTACTACACATATCACAATGTTCGCTAGAGGAATTCGCGCTGTCTCGCGGCGAGCTGCTGTCGCTGCCCCCCTCGCCCGTCCTACCATCCTCCCTGCCCGCCAGATCTCTCCCGCCGTCGCCGTCAACGCTACCCGCTCCTACCACGAGAAGGTCCTCGACCATTACTCACGACCCCGAAATGTCGGCTCCATGAACAAGAAGGACAGTGATGTCGGAACCGGTCTCGTCGGCGCCCCTGCATGCGGCGATGTCATGAAGCTCCAGATCCGCGTCGACCCTGAAACCCAGAAGATCTCCGAGGTCAAGTTCAAGACATTCGGATGCGGCTCCGCCATCGCCTCCAGCAGCTATCTCACCGAGCTTGTGCGCGGCATGAGCCTGGATGATGCCGGCAAGGTCAAGAACACTGAGATTGCTAAGGAGCTCTGCTTACCCCCCGTCAAGCGTAAGTTTACTACCCTGATATTTCGCTTACTGTTTGCTCAGTTGCGGTATATTGCACACTGTGATGCTAACTATCTTCGATAGTGCACTGCTCCATGCTTGCTGAGGATGCTATCAAGTCTGCCATCTCAGATTACTACACCAAGAACCCCAACGCCAAGGTCAGCAACCTTAGCGGTACCGGCATGAAGCTCCCCGAGGCCGACGCCGCTGCTGCTTAAACGTGGTAATTCATCAAGAAAATCTCAGCATTAAAAAAACACGAATATTGCATTGCTTTTACGCCATGTCACAATACTTGGGAAACTAGGAAATGATACCCTCTTTGAGGCAGGATGAAAAAAAGAAAGTCGTTCGGAACACCAACGAAGGAGGGGGGGAGTCATCTTTGGATCTGGTCTGGAGTAGGATTGTCTGACGCAACACGTCTGACTAGTCTTTCCCTTCTTTATCCACACACTATGGGATCAGTATTTGGGAGTCAGGGGTTCTTTATTTATTTTCTGCCTGAAATCACTATGGTTGTGATTGGCTTACAGGGGATGAGGCGAAGAAGGGGTCTGTCTACATTGGAGCGGGGTCGGTAGAATGAGATGAACAACTGTATCAAATAGCGCAAGCGCGAAATGTCATATGCTTTCGATTGAACGAGTCTTGTTGTTTGTTCGTGAGTCGGTGAAGATTGATAAGCCGTTATCTGATGGGGTGATGAATATCGGCCTCCGCGGAGATGGGCTGTCGTTGTGATGCGGCTCGTGTTATCAATCGTACAATTTTCAGGGTCCCTGCCTCGGTCACCGAGGCTCCTCGCTTTCTGCGTCTGGAGTCTATAAGGGTCATCATCGGTTCAGTGAGCGCTCACCACGATTAACTGATTCAACTTGTGCTCATCTCCAGATGATCTCTCCATAAACCCAATTCCTGAGACCCCGTCCAATCGGTAGCAAGCAATCCCAGTCCCAATCTCGTGATTCACCCTCAAAACTCCTTATCAATCACCCCACCACAGCATATAAACAACAAGTACAATAACTTCGCTTCCAAGTCTCAAATTCGCGAATGCAAACCCAGTTACTTCTAGTACCAGCATCATATACACCCAATCTAGAAAAAAGAGATCTCTCATCCCTGCCGCAACTCATGCAAGGTCCGGTTGCTGCTCGAAAAAAAAAATCCTCCGTAGCGCGTCAGCATCAGGCCATTTTCCACCAAAAAAGTAAAGCCACCGTTGCATTTCGCGGGGTAGCTCGATCGAATTGAGATATTGGGTTCCGAGGGTCTGGGAGAGGGAAATTGAGTGCCTGTGGGGGTTTCCGTATCGAATTTTAAGGTGGTGAGGATTTGGGCGGTGGTGTAAGTGAGGGTTTGAGGTGAAGAGCACGATTCGAGACCAAGGCAGGTCTTGATCACTTCAATGTGCTATAATTTGCGAAGGGGGATAGTCTCTCTCTATCAGATTAAACGTCCGCTCTTGGTAAACCCATGTCTAGGTATCTATATGCATGCATCGCTCGATTCGCAACCCTCAATTAAGCAGCTGGCAAATGAATGCCATGGAATCCCTGTCCAATCGCAAAATCAGCCTCTGCCCTCCCCAGCTCCTCCATAGTCTTTCCATTTAAGCATAGTATATATGCCTTCTCATAAACTCCATCGACGACCAGACTGAAGACGATACCATCATCTTCTTCCACAGCCCCAGGCCTTGGCACAAACACCGGCTCGCCAGGGGTATGTCCTTCAGGTCCTGTCCATATGAACGCTTCACTGGTATCTAAGTCCGTCTTTACCAGAGCATCAACTGAGGTTGTTAGACCGCGTAGTGAGGCGCTGTAGACGTAGCGATAGGATTTGCCGTTGCGAAGTGGGTGGATAGTTGGGAGCTCGCCGGCGTGTGGACTAGGAATGGCGAGGACTTGGTCTGCGCTGGCGGAGAATGTTGTGTCTGGTGTCGGTTCTGAGGGTAGTCTGAAGCGGTATCTTGTGAGAGTTGGTGCACAGTTCTTGTAGCGGTCATTCTTGAACCAGTATTTCTTCGTAGCGTCGTCGCGATCCATCAGAACATCATAGTAAAAGCCCTTGATGATATCCATATTGTCATACTTGGCCAAATCGAAGAACAGATCTGTCCACTCAGTGCCATCTTCATCTTTAACCTTCTTCTCAAATGCATTGATGCTATGGAAGAAGAAAGCAGCCGGCGTTGAAAAGGTAGTGACAAGCCCCTTTCCGTGTCGGCGATCGACAACTAGCCACTTGCATTTCCTCTCTTTATCGAATGGCTTCATTGAATCAATAATATTTCCCTCCCATTGTGTCTTTAGTCCTCTCCATGCGTAGTGTGATGCGGGTATGCATATCACAACGTGGTTTTCTGTGAGGAAAAAACTGTGCATGTAGGCCGGTGGAACATTGAGATCGGAGATGGTAGCGAGAATCTCTGTTTCGCCTGAAGTA